CAAAACGCGTGCACGTAACATGATAATGATTTGTTTTGCAAATGAAAGTTTGTTTTATTATCTTTAAAGGCTTTATGTGTGCATTGTGATCCATATAATAATAAATCAAAAGGATAGATAATCGCTTTTTACGAGGGCTGCTATATATATTTCTGGCCTAGGCAGCACTAAGTATTGCCAGGTGCAATCTGACATTTCCGTGAGAAAGGTTGCCATTTTTTAATATAACATCACTCAGAACGTGTTGTCATTTAATTGTTAATTGTTCTATTTACAGAGACTTGAAAAATTCATCTCGGACAAAAAATGGAATTAACACGTGAACATTTTTGTGCAATCAGTTTTTACAACTTTCGACGTGAGTGCATTGACAGGAGTGCATTGATGAATTTAAATCTTTGTAAGGCGATGAAGCATCATCCTATAGCACTGTGAAAAACTGATTTAATGACTTCAATCGTGACAGACACTCGCTCAGCGACGAATTCCGTGAAGGTCGTACAAAAACGGCCGTTGTGCCAGACAATTTTGATGCCGCACAATTTGACAATCGCTCAAAAAAAGACTCGTGTCGATTGGTGCAAAGAAATGTTGAAAAAATATGTTCGCGGTGCTTCAAAAGACGTTTATAACATGGTCACAGGTGACGAATCAACAATCAATCGACCGCGTGGGTCTTCAAAGACGAGCCATATCCAACGAAAGTTGTTCGTGGAAGAAGCACTTCGAAGCAAATGGTCGCCTGTTTCTTCGGCAAATCTGGTCATGTGGCGACTGTTCCGCTTGAGCAACGAAGAACGGTCACTTCTGAGTGGTACAACACAATTTGTTTGCCTGAAGCCTTCGTAGAAATTCGAAAAACGAACAAGAGAAGATGAAGTATTATTCACCATGACAACGCGAGCTCTCACACATCGGCTCAAAGCAGCGCCTTTTTGACCAGCCAAAACGTCGAATTAATGGGAATTAACGCACATCAAGAAAAAACAAGAAAAAAAATGCGTGGTCAACGATTTCCGTCGCCAGAAGATGCCGTTGAAGCGTTCAAAAACCATGTTTTGGAGGTGTCCCAATCGGTGTGGAAAAGGTGCTTCGACAATTGATTTGAGCGCATGTAAAAGTGCATAAATCAGGCTGAAAAATACTTGTGTATTTAATTATTTGTATAGTAAAATATAACACATAAATAGATATTTAACAACATGGTGTTTATTAACATACTTCATGTTATCATGGCTAGTACAGGTCATAGTACTGTCTTCACTACATACACATAATACCATTTGCACTAACAACAACTATGGTTCGGCTACTGCCGGTGTTTACTCAACACCCAATATACAAACCTCATATCAATATACATACACATAGCAGAAAAAGTCTACGGATATTCACAAAATTATTCTTATATTACGCATAACTTTTTTAATTTCTACTCAAATTCATTTTTATTTCCTGATTTATTTTAACCAAAGAAACAACAAAGTTACAATATAAAAAATTAACAATTATTCTTAAAAAAAAAATTAAACACAATTATACGCAAAAGTAGCAATTTTTGAAGCATTTTGAATTTTTATAACATATATTTATTATATTATTTTAATCTTATATTATAAAACAATAATAAATAATAATAAATAGGGAAAAATTTATATTTACATAATCCAATAGGAATAAGTTTGTAACACCACAGACAAATAACACAGACAGACAGATTGCGAATGCAGAACAAAAAAATTACTCCCTTTCATTTCATGTTAGCCAGCTCGAGTAGCCAGCTAAAAGCACAATCAGCTTTGAATTGTAGAACACTTAAGACAAACCAAAGCAGCGTATAACACAATGATCTTAAGTGTTCGAAACACACGAAAGAGCTGTTGAATGTGCGTATGAGAATGTATGTGTGATATAGTATAGAAATTGTTGCTATATTTTCTATTCATATTCCTAGTTTGGGTGCTTGTGTGATTTATATCAAGAACACTAAATACAAGAGGACTTCTCAACTCAAGCGATTTTATTTCTACACACATTAGGCCTTTCAAGAGGAACGCGGAGTTTTTGCATTGGTTGTGTAGAAATTGTTTTTGATTTCTCTCTATAGTTCACATTTTTGATTTACGTACTGCTACATGTGCGAATGTAGTATTAATCAATGCTCGAAGTTTCCAACAACAATTTGCCTTAGTTAACCAACCCCATTAGCAGAATACTCAAGGCCTTGTCAAAAAAAAGGCCTTTTAAAAGCACTCCATCAGAAGGTGTAATGAAATTCACATGCCTTTTGTTAAAGTACTTTAAAAAGGCCTTTACTAAGAAGGCGTCACTAAAGGAGTTGATGCGCATTGCGTACACGCAAGCGGTGTTCAAATCATATTTGCATGTTTTGTTTTTAAATATATCGGTTTTTTTTTATTTTAGCCTACCTTTGCTTTATTTCGGTGTAGTCTAGACTAATGTCTCTTCTTTGTTAAGTTAAGTTATTGCAAGTTATGAAATTCTAACAAAATTAGTCCATTCGTGAATTCGAAAGTAAGCTGATCGCGAGTGAAATAATTTATAAATAGTGCTTATTAAAAGTAATAAAAATATATAAACTTATTAAATGATTAAATAAACTAATTAAAATAAACGAAAAGACAACTGAACCATAAATATTAAATAATAGTGCAAAACAGTGGAAAATTGTACGTAAAAATTGTAACAAAACAATTGTAAGTATACTTTTATACCTGTATGGAATTATATTTAAAGTTGTCATTAGTGCATATTTTTTTCAGTTAGTATTTTTGTTAAAATTAAACAACATACACATTGTCTAATATTGCATTATATTGTAGAAGCTGCAGATACTGAAGTCCTAAGTGAAGAAAATTATAGGAATGACATAAAAAAGGGTTTCAAGGTTGCAAAAAACAGATATTATAGAGTGGCTTGCATCAAAAAAAATCAACAAAAGAGATTAACTAGATATAGTTATAAATAGTTTTACAATATTATTAGTTTAATAATGTTAATTTAAGTTTAAATAAATTTTAGGTATAGTTATAGATAGTTTCATAATATTATTAGTTTAAAAAATGTTAATATTATTTAATTTATAATCATGTTAATAATTTTAATTTAAATAAATTTTATTATAATATAAAAGATATTGGAATTTTAATAAATATAATTAATTACAAATATATGCATTTTTTAAGTGCTTTATAAAGGCCTTTTCTATGCAGCGAATGTGTAAGGCCTTCCTCAGAATTTGTGTTGCAGTGCTTTTTAAAGGCCTTTTCTACGCAGCGAATGTGTAAAGCCTTCCTCAGAATTTGTGTTGCAGTGCTTTTTTAAGGCCTTTCCTACACAGCGAGTGTGTAAGGCCTTCCTCAGAATTTGTGTTGCAGTGCTTTTTAAAGGCCTTTTTTACACAGCGAGTGTGTAAGGCCTCCGATATTGGCTCATCCAGAACAAAAAAGACATAGTAAAAAATACAAGTGTGTAAGTACTATTTACTGCAGAAAAAGGCCTTTAAAAAGGCCTTTTTACTCCTTATTGCTGCTACTGAGTTTGTATGCATGCAATACACAAGTAGTTTCAAATTATTATCAATTTGGTTTTTGATGAAATTTTATTCTGGTCTCATACAAATATATCGGGTTTGCATATTATGAGGTTAGTTAGCACCGGCAGTAGTACAGTACTATGCCCTGTAGTAGCAATGATATGAAGTATATTAATAAACACCAAATTATTTTTTAAAATATTTTATTATTAAAGTTCAAAACATTAATTTATTATAAACATTGCAGTTATTCTTAAATCTAATCTTACATAATAACTTATATAATTTACGAACTATTTACTATCCATTTACAATAATTATTACTTACAATAATTACTATTTACAATAATTTATTTAAATATATTTCCATGAATATATAGAAATAAAGCAAAAAATATATTCTTCTTAAAATATACACATTAATATACTTTATATAATGTATATATTTTTTCTATGGGAAATATCTATAGGCTTATGTTACCATGGATATCAGCGATATTCAACCTGTTGGAAAGTCACGAAAAAGCAAACCAACATAAGAAACAGTATAAACACATTACATTTCACGGTAATGTTATTTGCTGTTTACTATTCGACTCTGGGATGTAATGCTAAAAAATCCCAAAAGCAAGTGCTATTCAATGCCATTTGGGTGATGAAGAAGTATACAATGGAAATACGATTTTATATTTGTTGTTGATGTTGTTGGTTTTCTCTTTTAGTAAACATATTTTTATATACATGTGTATGAATGTATGTATGTATATATATACCGCAACTAACTCACTTTATTTAAAATGTATTAAATTTTAATTTAAATGTTTTAAATCAAAAGTTCTTGAATTAGAAGTGTCGAACATCACATAATCAGATAATATTAAAACTATTCCAAACAATAAAATATTAAAAATTAAATCACTCTCTGGCCCAATTTACACTATCATGAACATAAAATGAACTTGAAAATCGGTTACCGATAGATGAGACAGAGAAGAGAGTGTGATGTGAGTTCAT